GTAGTTAGGCAATGAGTGTTCTGAAAAGGTTCTAAAAGGCCATCCTTCTGGCTTTCGCTGTGACTGTGCTGCGCCTTCCACGCAGGCCTGGCATTTTTTTTACACATGTGTGCAAGGGTTGCACAACAAGCAATGGCAGTGTGGTTGCCGACTCTTGAAAACTTTACTGACAATCATGCAAATTTGTCGTAGATACTGCCTTGAATCTTATTTATGAAAACTTGCGATGATTCTAACGAAATACAGACGTCCCCTAAAGTTTACTGAGAGCCTACGTGTATGCTAAAGCTTCAGAATCCAAATGTGTCCCACAGTGGCGTACTTTGCGAGACTGAAGAAAGCCATATCAGTCCTGGGGCCACCTCCATATTGAGAACTCTTGGTGATCAAGGAAAGGAATGTTCTTTAGCCAGTCCTCTCATTTAAACTGAGCAGGGCTCCCTCATCGCAGCAGAATGTTCATCAAAAGAGGAGAGTACTTAAAGGGATCCCAAGACTATTTTGACCATTTTGTACAAACACATCAGGCCGATAGACCCCAGTCATTAGGGCCCTTTAGAGACCGATTTCAGCTTTTGCATAAATGTGACATCTATTGAAACACTTTAAAGCTGCCTATCTTTGCAGGTCACTGGGACTCAGCCAGACGTGTTTACCACTGCCCATTCACAAAACGACATACTCTGGTAACATGACGTCACTGAGGCTGCTGATCTGATTGGCTGTAGAATGTGAGGAAGCAAGACCGGCTGGTTGGATGGCAGCACTTGTAGGAGCAGATATCGACCACTCCGCAGCCTTCACCTTGGTTGTCAGAAGGCACACGAGGTCAGGTTGCTGGTGCGAGCGCTGTAGCAACCTGTTAGTGTGCTATCTCGGAGGTCTAAACTGCTAAAAGCTAATGTCGTCGAGTGCGCTCATCAGAGCTCTACGATTGTTAGCGATAACAGCATGTTTCCTGAGTTGATTAGGCAAGCCAGAGATGACAAGGAAAGTATGACATAATTGTCCATAGTGGTCTTGGTATATAGTGTGCCACTAAATTTGTAGTGTGAATGGTTTGATATTCTAGCCCCAACACTGACAAAACTTTGAAAAATCGTTAAACTATAAATACAACCGCTGTGAATGCAGTGGCCACTTGTCTCATTCAATGTAAGTGCTTTCCACCAGGCTTGTTTCGAATCACCTGTAGAAGTTCAAAAGCCTACATGCTTCCAGGGTCCATTCAGTACCTCCAGAATGCTTAGTGAGGCAGACCAACACCTCCTCTAGAAAGATGCCTGTGACATTACACGCTTTCCCATGAGATAGAGGGTTCCTCGTAGTTCAGTGCTTTCTCCGCACGGAGCGCTCGCAGCCGACACTACTACTTCCGCTAGACCCTATTGCAGAGACACGGCTGTGTTGCCTCCGAGACGGCAGTAGACATTGCTTTATTCTCATAGGCTGCAAGGTTTAAAACTGCTGCAGCAGCGAGCGCTTGCAGTCGGCACTGTTTAGGGGAGCTGAGGAGGAGAAAACAGGAGAGGGCTGGGAACCAACTCTTCGGCTTAAGTCGCAAGTATCTTTCTAGAGGAAGCGTTGGGCAGACTATTGTTATGGGGAGATGACAGAAGAAGTTTGTATTTACCATTCTTACATAATCAGACTGATCAGGATAACAACCACAAAGGTGTTGAAAGGGGGGACCGACCCGTCCTCCTCCATTTCGTTCTCTATGTAATTGGCACATAACGTGCACCCGGTCAAAGATGGTAACAAGACCTTTCACTAAACACATATGCTGATGGGTCCCAATGCACATAGGGCTTCAAATGGATGTGAACAATATTAGTGCACAATTGAGTTGACGAGGACAGAGCCACGTCGATCACTTAGCGGCATACACGGTACTGTCTGGTGAACGGGAACAGTAGCTTTTCAGAAAGCGCACAACATGGTGCTGGAGATGAAAGAAAATCAAGAGATCCAGGAAAAATGTGGGAATTTCTGTGACAGCTACCATAATGAGTTTGTTGGCGTGTCGGTTTACCAAATACGAGCAAGTTGATGTGCATAATAAGCGCGGGCGTTAGCTTCTTGAGTGTACTGAGCAAGTAGTTATGTGGAAGGAGGCACCATCTTGTCCATAGGCGTAACTCACTTCATTGGGGTTATGTGAGCAACAGGCAGTGATGCCAACTTGCGGAGCCACTTTTTCTCGCTATGAAGAGAAAAAACTCTCAATTTCCCTAGATTTTCATGAAGGGCGGTTTCTGAAAACTAATGTGTTTGTGCTGTGTAAAATGATTTCCAAGTTCACTTTTATGATATAATGGTGCATACGTTTGAAAATATTCACTAAAATCGGCATGCTGAAGGTGAAAAAATGTCGCAGTACAAGATTTGAATAACATTTCATTCCACGAAATCACAAAGATAAGCGGTCATCGCATTTGGGGGGGGGGGGGACACACACATGAAGTATCACAGTATTTTGTACAAATCATCAAGAAAGCACTGCATATAGGCAGAAAAGGGATAAATTATCAAAATAATATTTAGGAACACTGCTAACCGTTCAATGCAAAGCACGAAAATTGTACAATACGATACAATGCACTTGTAATAGCATGCAAGTTACAAAACCAAATAATAGTAATATTAATAATACTACTATAATATTAATAATATATTATATAATAATAACCAGAACAAGCATATAAAGTGCAGTACATGAAGTATTCCTGCAAGCAAGCTTAAAAAATTAATCAATTCTGTTATTTTGCAATTTCTGTTACGTTATTATTTTGTAACTCACCTGCGGGAAATGCTTCATGGTGTTTATATAAAATATGAAGTGACGCACACTTACAAAGCTTATAAACAATGTCTTAAAAAAGGTACTCTCGAGCTTTGTCATGATATCTGATACAAGATTTTGTGACGAAATATAGTTCAACTATGAAAGCATGATATGCCAGTTGGCAGTTCATCCCTCGCAGCCTGCTGAACGCCTACGAAAATATATGTGTATTAGAAATTTCGACCGCCATATATTCGTTTCCAATATATCTTTGCAGTCTTCCACCAGCCACTTTTTTTCCAATCCTTTTTTTTTCAGCTGTGCAAATAACCACATACATGCAGCCTACTGCTCTGGCGGCGTTTTTCACAGAAACCTTGGCGACCTTGGCGGAGCCACATGGCCCCATGGGGCAGCTCACTAGCAATGGGACAGCGTTTGCAGAGAAAAGAAACCGATAAAAAAATAACAAACCAAACAAATAACACCGCGGGTGAAAGTCGAGAAAATGGGAGATTGATGTAACGGAAAACATATACTTGGCGGGCTCGAGAGAGAGCACTTTTTCTTTGGTTTCAAACGGGATTCAGGCAATTAACGTCGCACACGGACAGCGCAGAATGAACCGCAATGAAGTGGGTAGTGGAGAGTGCTGACACAGCGTTGGGGAAGGAGACCGGCCCTGTCACCCCCTTGCACCCCTTGGAACGGCTAATGGGCATGGCACAGCACTTTTGGGTGAGTGTAGAGGGGGTGTAAAAGAGAAAAGGTAGAAGAAAGAATAGAAAAGAGGTTGTGGGTGGGAGGTCCCTCCGTCGATCTGCTTGCTTGACGTGGCAGCGAAAAAGTTCCCTAGATGTTGACAAATTTCCCTTTTCCCCTAAATACAACCAGAATCCTCTAAATCTTGAACTTTCCCTAGAGTTTGCAGCACTGGCAACAGGTAAGTTCTTCCGTCTGAAAAAATCAGCCACTTGAAGAAGCTAGCAAGGCTTTGAAGCCACCAAAAACCCCAGCTCCCACAATACAACAATTTTGCAAACTAAATATATATTAACCCACAAAATACGACAAAAGTAAATTGACCACAGTGACTTTAGTACTGTTCCAGATTTTTTTTACAATTTTTTTCAGGTTACATTTCAAAACTCACAATAAGGTAATTTTATAGTCCGGAGAAGCTTTTTTTTTTTGAAAAATATCTGACCTTCAAAGAATGATCATGTACATGGCTTGCACGTCCCATCATGGACGCCGATTCTGAAAGGAACTAGGACTCTGTAATGGCAGCTTTCATGAGAAACAAGTCTTATCTATGTAAAAACGACGTGCCAGGAACCTCTCTGTGCTTGAGTAATGAAATAACCAGCTTGTGTTTTAATAACGTTCATGTGCGATCAGAAACCTCTCGTCCCCACATGCTGGTGCTCCTGCACGGCGCTTTCAGCAGTTGGAACTATGTATACATTGGTAGGCATCCACAGTTTTTGAAGGTACAAAAGTAAGCTTCGAGTCTAAATTTATGCCTAAAAGCTTATGTGGCATGGTTAGAGGGAAGCTGAGAGCCTGCATGTAAATGCCAGAATCAGGGTATGAAACAAAAAAAGCCCGCAGGTTGTTTTCAGTATAAACTTGTTCTCATCAGCCCATTTCTAGACCTTGCTGAGACAAGCTAGTCTTGTCGCCCGAAATTGTGAACTGAAGCCGATTTAAATCTTACCTGTACATCGTCAAGATATATCAAATAAAAGTTGCTAGATAAAATGGGCAGATGCAAATTCATTTACACAATACAAAGCATACAAGTGAGCTCCCTACTTTGTCAGAAATCGGTATCATGTACAAAACACTGCCCAATCAAACACTGACAGTGCAGTTAGATAACTTGCTACCACATATGACAAAATGAGCGGTTCCAAATTGTCATAATGTATTGACATGAAAAAGAGGGAAATTCCGAGGCGACCTAGTTGTCTGGTAGTGTCAGTCATACATCGGCAGGTTATAGCAAATGTTTTTTTTTTGTTTTTTTTTGCACCACTGGAAGCGGTTGTGAACAGTCTTTCATGCCCGCACATTTAGTGCTGCTTGTACTGTTTTTCCGTTCGTGCACGCTTTATTGCAAGCGAGAGCTCATCGCACACATCGTTTTGTAACTCAATTTGTGAACTAATAAAATGTCATCCGTCTGATAAGCAACAGCTGCACTCACTGGATTCTTCATGATCACTTTGACGACCAGCTTGTCTGGGGACTCCATCTTGAACGACATGCCCTGGGGCTCGCACTGCGACAGCAATGTTCATAACATCGTCAGAGGCGTGCCGCGGCGGTGTTCGTATTGCGCGGCATGCTCGATGAACAACAAAGATGAGCGGTATACCTGCAGGACTTTGCCTACGAGACACACCGTCTGCCTCTGGTATCTAGATAGAAGCCTCCCGTTGACACGCATTTCTTAGCTGTTCACACGCCGGGTGGTGCCGTGAGTGGTTCCTGTCCTCACAATGCTCCTTATTTTCACACAACACCGAAGTCCAGCGGTAGGACCCTAGAATCATGGAGGACAAGAAAATAAAAACCGCGAGAAAAACTGCGCGTTTGAGTCAGTGTTGCCAGGTCGAATAAAGTGACGTAGCCAAAGTGACTAAAACCCAGATCAGTTGGTGTACTAGAACTGTTGAGTGGCGTGAACGGCGTCGTACAGTTTGCGGACTAATTTTAAGAAACCCTACAAACGGCGTAAACGTGCCTACACCTGATGTCCTCCACGTCGACTGTAATGGCGGCCCTGCAGTCAATTAGTACTTAGAGTTGCTGTATATGCCAAATGGTCACCTCCAAGCAACCCTGTGCTCCCTCAGCCTATGTTTTGGCTCCCCGCATGGCAGGCGGGCAATGCGGAAAAGGCACTACTTCCGGCCACCATGACTAGGATCATGCACACATGTCTGGTCGTCCACGTGATACTAGAGCTGAGACATTTTTTGCACCCACCATCCAGTTATCACTTGATGGTGCCGTATTTCTGTGCAGCCATCGCACAGAATGTAAGTGCGACAAGCCTGAAAACGCAAAATCGGTTAAATTTTATTCCTTGCCGAACGTTATTCGCGGTCATGCAGCCGTACACTGCAGGTTGCGGCGAAGCGTCGTTACACTTCTAATAACTCTATCGTCGTGGCCAGTGATTCAGCCGTCTTCGCCAGGCTGATTTTACCATTGGCTGTGGGGAGAGTGCTTGAGAGTGCTTCACCTGCGAATGGAAACTCACTGTCAGTTGAGATTCTGACAGCCTTGAGTAATTCAGGTGCGAACAAAACACGAAAATAAAGAAATGACAATAACACAGTAAATGCAGTCAGTTTCAATGCTCTGGCAGAGACGTCTGCGAAAAGTACAACACAGTGGCGCACTGAATGTTGGACTATTCATAGTAATACATGCGCGGTACACTGGGAGCTTGTACGATAATAGATCATTTTTTACAACGCTTGCTAAAAAAGAAAGAGAAATTAGGAACAATAATAATGTTCCTTTAAAAAAAACGTGAAGAAGTGCAGAAGAATGCGATAAACCAGAATATATAAAACCAATTAACAAGAATGAGGAAGGGGGAGAAAGAATTGGATATATCTGGCAGCAGCGTATCCTTCCGGTAGCTGAATGAACTTATGTAGCGCTGACAGAATAGCACGGCGGCCCACACCCAACTGACTGGCTCCAAACGATATTAGGGTGGATGTATTGACTGGCAATCCGAGCATACCAAACGGTCTTTCAAGAATTATTCGGCGCAGTGAGGTGAAGCGGCGGCATGTGAGAAGAAAGTGATCTGTTGTTTACGGTTCATTTCAAACTGCACATAGGTTAGTTAATAAAAATCCTGATTTGTTGAGATAAAAATTTAACTGAGGAACTCTACAGCGAAAGCTTGTGAGGGTTACCTCACATTGACGGGAAAGGCATTTTGCGGTGTTCCATGTGAATTGCAAGTGCCGAAATTCTTCAGATTGTAGAAGCGACGTTTCGTTGATTTTTAAGATTAACAGGCGTTTGAATCGTTCGGCAGTAATAAAAGTAAACTGTGGAGCTACTAGCACCACCGGGAAATTTAAAGATGCCGAAGCGAGCGAATCAGCAATTTCATTTAGTTCAATTCCAGCATGCCCGGGGACCCAAATAAACCGAACTTCTGATAGGCTATGCGGTACGAGAGACCAAAATATCCTGAGAAGAGGAGACTGCTTTGCGGACGTTAGATGTGTACATACAGACAAAGCATCCGAAATGATAATAGCTTTTGATTGCTGATAATTTAGTTTTCGAAGAGCCAATGTAATAGCCAGGAATTCTGTGAGATAAATTGGTGTGAAGTCAGGCAATCGGAGCGCATAAGACCAATTAAGTTGATGAGAAAAAATACCTACTCCAGCCTTCTGAAGATTTTGCGTTGCGTACGTCGAAATTACTACGTATTTAGGAAAATGACTGAGATGGTCTTGAAGGAGGCCCTCCAGAACATGCTTTGGAAGTAACTTGGCATTTTTCGGAAAAATATCATCGAAAATTAAGTCAACTGGCACCGGGCATTGTGTTTGGGGAGTTGTAGCGTATCCCTGCGTATCCCTGCGCATCCCTGCATTCTTATTGCAAAACCAGCGGAGCAATCCTAGGGCGGTTTCTGCTTTACGGGTCTTTGATTCTATTTGTTGCTGCCAATTTAAAATTGTCCACGTAAACAATACCAAGATATTTTGGCGCTGTTACTTGTGGAATCAGATCATTTCGATAATGCAGTGAAAGAAATACGGGAACGGATAGAGGGAATACAAGCAGAGCACATTTGCTAACATTAGGTGAAAAAGACAGCCCGCCAAGCCATACCTCAAGCTCACTCAAATATGACTGTAAGATTTGATACAAACTATTGATATCTCGGGATGACGAAAAAAAAGCAATATCATCGGCGTACACGTGAAGAGAACGTTTTTATGAACGGGAATGGATGATAATAATATATTAAATAAAAGAGGTGACAGGACTGATCCTTGCGGAACACCTCTTGTTTGCTTATATGAGGCATAAGTAATTCCCTCGTGGCAACAAAAGATTTGTCTCTGAAAGAAAAACTCCTGAACCCAAGGGAGCTTAAATGACGCACACATGCTTTGTTTGCTTTTTTTGCTGAAGGGACCTGGCTCAGTACACGTGCGTCAAAGCGCAAATGACTTGTAACGTTGGTCTAGTCAAAGCTGTGGGTGAGACAACCACGCCGAAATTTCAGTCTAGTGTACACGTACTTTACCACAATCTAATCTGTCTCATGCAATGGTGTTTTTACGTGCAATTTGCAAGCGTTGTGAAACCCGCTCTTTCAACTAGATTCGTAAAACATCGCACTAGTGTCAAATTCATGGTTAAACTGGAGTTTAGCGCTTACAGATAGAATATAACTTTAGATTATTTTACCTTTGCACCCACCGCAACGCAGTCAACTGCGACTTTTCAGCGAAGGTTCGTGGACAAACCCACTTGACAAGCATCCGATGATTTCTTGGCGTTGAGTCGTTCGTGCGTCACAAAACTTCAGTCCTTTATGTCTCAGAGCTGCACCTTAGAAACAAGTCTGGTGTCAAATGCGGCCCCCACGTTCGTCAGAATGAGTGGACCAATGCACACTGCAGAGAGCCACTTCGTCCGTGTATCACTGCTTAGCATCGGCGTCCAATTTCTCGGCGTACACGCTCCAGCGAGCCGAGAACGCATTGCCCATGGGTGCAACAGCTTTACAAATGGTTAATCTCATACCTTCTAAATCCAAATAAAATAAAAGAAGAGCAACGTGCCTGCAGTCACTTGTCTGCACCTGTTGGAACCGCCGAACTCAACTGCCGGTATCTGAGTGTACTCTGGTATGCCGCCAGGCCTGGTGGCCTTCAAAATGGTGGCCACGTGGTCACCAATACAATCAGCGCGCTTATTGCTGCCGCGCCCACCAAGCTGACGTCACGTCAATACAACCCAGTACTTAAAGCCTCTCGATCTTTATTAGTACTAGAAACGCAGCACGCCACGCGCCAGAACTGCTATGCGCTTCGGCTCCGTTGGGGCGCTTTTTGGTGATACAGCTTTCTTTTTGCCTGTCCCGTCTATGATTCATGTCTAGCTCATGCTGTCATAACCCTTGAGGGATATGACACGCCAAAGTACTGAATTTCCACTTCACAAGCGACCCTGTGAGAAATAAAAAAGAAATATCTATTTCCTTGAGCTTAATTCGGTAAAATGGTTAATGTAGGCATGAAAAATACCAGAAAGAAAAACCTGATTGGCACAGTGAAGCTTCATAATCTCGGTGTTACGCACGTTACTTGAAGTTAGATGTGCTTCAAAGTAGTACGTTTACCGTGAACATCGGCAGAAGTGGGTTCTGAAACCATGATCTCGTTCTGGCGTACTTATTTATTGGTCAGCTGCCAACTGGTAATAAGAGCCCTTGCTACGTGACGCCAAAGGGAAAAAAAAAATGTGTCAGATCCAGCTTTTCTGGACCCGAGCGGTTTAGTTCACCTGAACGACAGCACGTGGCGTATCGACCTTAAACAATTCAAAGTCCCGCCATGACGTAGCACTAAATCAAAATATAATAATAAAAAGAAAGAGAAGTGGGGGCACCCACACTAAAATGTTCGCTTCACCTCAGTGCGCAGATAAGAGCGCGGTTCGTCAGCGTTATCTCCTCAGCAACGACTGGTGATGGATTGACAGTTTTTACAGACAGACTGTGCCAGACAGCTCGCAGCATTTCGCACGAAATGTCCAGCCGTCGTAGACACACCCTTGGTGTGTCAATGAAGTGTGTTTTTTTATTTTTTGTTTTAGCTTCTGCGCTGTAGTATCAGTGTGTATATTAGAAAAGCATGCTGCATTCAGGGTTTCGTGTTACCCGAGCGTCAAGCATTATGCTTGGGTACGAACAGGACATCGTGGTTGTATAATCAACTTTTTGTGTGTACGCTACTTAGGTGATGGTCACTTGCTACTTGCGTAACGTCAAAGTAAAATTGAATGACTTTCAGAACGCTAAAATGAGAGTATGAAAAGGAAATAAAAATATTGTGAGCATTATTCATGCACGTCATCTTGTCATATGTACATACTCATCATCATCAGTCTGACCTGAGTTGTGGGGCAGACGCTCGGCAAGTAAAAGAAGTGTCCGCAGCAAAAACGTTGCCTTACAAGTGGTGGAGAGTGCTTTCCGGCCTCTGGTTCTCTCCCTGCAGTGCTTCTTCGTTATCTTCGACTACCAACCATCCCTGGAGCTCCGGTTGGGTCGCCGTTTGCGCAGTCAGCCCACGGTCATGTCGCAAGACGAGCACAACAACAACACGGCTCCATCTACCCCGCACCTCCACCACTTGTAAGGCAACGTTTTTGCTGCGGACACTTCTTTTACTTGCCGAGCGTCTGCCCCACAACACAGGTCAGACTGATGATGATGAGTATGTACATATGACAAGATGCCGCGCATGAATAATGCTCACACTTATTTCCCCCTCCCCACGTGACATGACCGTGGGCTGACA